TTCGCACTACAATAGAGCTATGGAAATCAGAGATAGTGAAACTACTGTTAATACAAGGTAAAACTTGGATGAATCTCATTTATCTGACACATGAAAATGAATTTCTGATAGCGGTACTATTTCAAGAGTATGCTAACAAATTCTCGGAAGCCTTATTTGCTACATTACAGTGTTATTAAGTAAACCTGTCAAGATAACGCGAAATGTTTGCTCAAACCGCGTTGCCATTGTTCTTGGACACCTATCGCATCGTTATTTTAATTTCATTACGGCAATCAAGTAGTTCAGTGGCACCGGGTGCCTCATTTTTGTCAACATCTGTCATTTTTCAAATCGGAACGTTAGTCGCCGACGATGTGATACATCATAATACGTTGCCCCGTGGTTTCAGCTTGAGTCAATCCTTATCACTTTCAGCGGACTCGCGCAACGCTCATCACTCACGTGTCACACAATGTTTGCAGTTTTCCATGATCTAGATAGATACCCTGTCTCGTTCATCCCGTCGCGTTGTGTGCATTATTTCTTAGAATTCGCGTTTAAAGCAAGCGAGTGGCCACCAGTTTCTTATAGTTATGAAAAACGAATTTCTTGATATTTCAGCTACGTAGCTCTGTCGCCGCCGCCCACGCCCACGCCCGAGTCGTCACCAGCCTGGCTCCGTCGCTCCTCTCTCGTACTGTACGTTCGTTTCACTCACATTCCCCTGAATATTCATATCATCAAGCTTCCCGGCAAATAGGTAAAGTGACAAATATTCACCGGCATGAATAAAATATAAAAGTCACACAGCGTTCATAAATCTCGCTCCGCATTGTAAGTGAATTTCGCGTTGCGTTTTATTTACATTACCTAATATCGATTCGAGCGTAGTTTTATGGGCTCGCTTACCTCGCGCTGCTACGTCACAACTTTATTGTGGTCGAGACAGTTTGACACATTGATGGATTCGTTTTCGACGAACAGTTACTATAGACAGTTAGGTAAAGGTTAGGTTAATAGAATTGAAATTGCTCCTGCTCTGTAACAATGGTTAGCATACAGTACTGTGTTTAGTTATTTGATGTAGGTAATCATTAATGCGCTTCCCAAGGTACGTTTACGATGTAGTCGCAGTAAACACATGATTGCAGGCGCGCAGATGACTCGCGTTCGCATGTGTTTAAAAGTTTAGTAAATATAGTTGTCCTTCGTGCTCTATATTGATATCTTGTTAATAGGCTTCGGTAGCCGATTGCCAATCAAACGTACCTTTCATACTGTAGCTAGGCGATTAAATTAAAGCTGGTCGATAATCGTAAATGTGTAATTGAATAGATAACATCTCCGTTTAGTTAGCGTATCGCCTTTTAGATAGGAAAACGAAAGCTCCAAAATTACTAAGCTAATCCTTTGTAAATTGTAGAGATCACCGCTGACGCTAACCAAATCAAAGTTTTATTGCATTTTATTTATCCTTTCTGTGATTGCAATCTTATCTGGAGCAGTGACCAAGTGCAGTTTTTACACAACAAATATTATCAGATAAACTGTCGTTACCAATCTATAATTAGATAATTGAATATTGTGATTATAATTTATTATTAAGCAATGATTCAATTTATAAAAGTTCCATTACATAACAAATAATGAAATTTTGGCAGAATGCATAATGGCCGTGTTCTTATTGGGATCACTAGGGGCGTGCTCGACGGTTTGGGCAAAAGGGCATTTTTGGCGTATATTTTGATCATTGCCTTATTTTTTGATTATCTCATTATTATGACAAATTGTGCGTAAAAAACTAGGCAGTATGATTTCTAACCCTTATGTATCCTTTTGCATTACCTACATCTGGTGTCCTGAAGATTTTTTCAGAAATTCCATAGGTACCAAAAACTAGTTTATTAATTTTCCCGATTATAATTCGAGTTAACACTTATCGTGGCTTATAAATAAATTGGCACCGTAAATGGCGATGTATTCATCGCGATGGGTGATTAACCTTTTTGGGGCTTAGCCAAAAAGCCTCGCAAGTTTTGATGAGGCGCGCGCGTGACAATTCCGGGCCGTAATTAGTGAACTTACAAAATGTTATCCTCATGTAATACTCGTACCTCACAGGATATTTTGGGAACAATGACTCATCATGTCTCTGAGATGTCGTTAACCGCTTAACACAAACACTAATTAAATTATATTGGACCCGTTCGTGTTATCGCCACTACAATGTACGAGCATTTATTGTTAGTAGAGGCTAGAGGGTAGAGTCTTATGACAGTGAATACAATCTCAATTAGTTTATTAATAGTTTCAATAGATAATAGAAAGCGATTGTAATATTATGCTGTTGATCAACGAACATTGAATCGCTAGTAAAATTAAAACATCCACTGCCATTGGTCCCAATATTGAAATTGAATCGATCTATCGAGCGAGTTTTAATCAAGTTTTGAGCTTTGTTTCATAATACGGACTTAAAGTTTCATGAATAAATTAAAGCTTGCAGATTGTTAATCATGAGAGAGAAAAGGTACAAGCTGTGCATACCCGCGCGATGGGCGGTTTTATTGAGCTTAAACACAAAGAGGCAGATTGCACAATAGCGAAGTATTTTTTGTTTCGTTAAGTGGCGCTGAAACATTCACCGATCTTTTTGCCTATCAACAACACTCGTACCTCTTGTAATGTGGCTCCTGTTACATTCAAGTTTCATAACCAAAACGGGTATAATTTTTAAATCAAGATATTTTTATCACGTACGTACTATTAAATGAACACGACGGAAACGTGTTTAAAAAAAAACGCAATATTGAGTGGAAATACAACTACATACTCGGGTACATAAAAGTAAGAAGTTTTAACTGCAATCCTCTCGGAAGTGCAGAATTTCTCATGAACTCCGGCATCTGTGCGGGAATGATATTAAACTCAGTTTATACTGTACAAGCTTTTATTACGTACTTGTGCTTATCTTTTAGCTGCAGACCTAATAACTTTTCACTTAGTATATCTTACATCAGGGAACTCTTATATTAAGCGTCCACTTAACTACAAACTACGGGCCCAACGCTATCTCTGCAAGCTTGTTTTTAATGGAACGTTGATATTAATTTAAAACTTCGCAATTTGATCGATCGATCGAAGCTACTTGATGTTAATAAGGGTAATGTATGTAATACAAGACCGATCATCCAATTTAGTATCAAATATCAGGCTACTCAGAAGCGCTTAGGGATTTTGTTCGCTGACTGCTTTCGTAGGTCAGTGTATTGAATGACATTTTTATATTTTTCGTGACTAAACTGTAAAAAAATAATTACGCAACCCATGGAGTTAATTTTTCAGGCAAAACAACGAGTTCAGAATTAGTAAGTTTTGCCAAGTCCATCTTTCTGTTCGTAGTTTAAAACTCATAGACACTTGGTACTAAAAAGCTGTAATTTGGCATGGTTTACATATTAATCACGCCTATAAAGTTGTGAAATAAAATTTGTGATTTTTTCATTCTTGTGTGTAGGATGTCGTTGGATAGGTCGGTCATTCACAAAGATTGGGAGTAGGTACCTGTGTGTCATCAATATTTTATTTTTATAAATTGAGTATTTTTGTAAGTCACGTGTCACTCTATCAAACTATTCTGGTGTGTTGATATACTTATTTTAGTACAGGATGTTTTTGGAGGTGGTGAAACATAAAGGATTAATTCTAGTACTCAAATATAACACATTTTCAGGATTAGTTTTCAGTTTTACACCGGTATCAATTCACAATCACGATAATCCATATCGTGAAATAAATTATGCAATTTTTGTGCCATTGTTCTATTAGGAGTCAGCTGGTTATGAGTCATCTCGGCCCATGGCGGCCTCATTACCCGGGAGTTTTGTTACATTTCGAGTACCGTTACTAAACACTTTCTTCCATCGGTCAATACGCCGTTATTTGTTCATAGAATCGCAACCAGCACAATACAACATGATTTATTGTTCACTTTGATGACACAAATTGACTCTTTTTTTTTGTAACTACATATCATTGAAATCGATTGTGCATCTTGGATTTATTCATGAAGCACTTACATCACAGCAATATGTCAAGATCGAGTTAAAGGGCAGTTGGTTGTGCAATTGGTTCGCAACCCGACCTGATATGGTTGGTTAAATAAATCTTAACCTGGTGACAAGCGGTGAAGTTAGTTCTTATCTTTCGGTTCTAAATACTAACTGGTGTACAAAAACACAGTGTCGTTTAATGAAAAATGTATGTGACATGTTTGCTCTAGTCTACTTTTATTTATGTATGTCATACTAGACTTCATGATAAAAGATATACGTTTCATGTTGTTATTGTTTTTTTAATATTGTACGCTGATGGAAGATGCCCTCCATACTGTGGTCTAGAAAGAAACTTCTTCTTGTGCCTAATAAATAATGAGCAATAATATTGATCTAGTGACAGGCCGTTCTATTTCCATTTCTGATAGCCGGAAAATCAATACGCAGTGTGGTTAACTGCACCGATGCACGGTCTCTAGGTTGGTATAATTTGTGCGATAATTCAGTACGTCTGCTGCAATATCATTGGGGCTCACGTAACTAAGAGAAATAGGAGGATGTAATGTGAATACAGTGACCGCAACTTGTTTTAAATTATGTTGGTTGCAAATTGCAATACTCCATACTGGCACTTTGTTGACACCTCTAAATTGGTTTTCGCGGAGCGCAATACCAAACTCGGTCGAAAATAAATGAAAAAAATATGTGACACGTGCATTTCTTTCATGGCTAGATATTCATTTGCGTCGTTTTATTTACACTTACTATCTAACAAATAGAGGGCAAGATAGAAATATTATGACAAAACAATGATAAAGAAATTAAACCGTCACGGAGGGTATTACAGAAGTAGGTCTCGCGAATGATAACCGCGCGGAGAAGAGGGTGGTTTCAGTTATCAGATGATGACGGCGGGCAGGCCGCGGCCGCGAGGGCTCGCAGGCGCTGCCAGTAGCAGTCCCAGCGGCGCGCGCCTCGCACGGCCAGCTCACGCGCTCGCGCACACCGCTCACAGTGAAAGTCGCGCGCGCAGGTTTCGCTACGATTTCGTGCGCCGACATCTTCGTCTAGTTATTCTGTTTGTTCGTTGCGCCAGTGCAGCAGGGAAAGGAGGTCGGTGCTTGGCCATAGCCCGTAAGAATTCGTGACTTGTGACAAATCGGTTACCAATCGATGTTAAATAAATAATAAATAAATAATAAATAAATAAATCTTTGGACAATTTCACACAGCGCCAGCTAGCCCCAAAGTAAGCAACTTAATGCTTGTGTTATGGGTGCTAGCTTAACGGATATACTACTTATATACTTTTTTTTTTTTTTTTTAAATACTGTTACTGTGATGTTATTATTTTTATGTGTGGTATTACGGCAACAATTTTATTTTTCACAAAAACGGCAATCACGATTTACGTTAATCCGTAAGCGTGTTTCTTTAACAATTATAATTGAATTAATGGAATTTGTTAAATTACAAAATCATTACATACGCCAGCTTTTGGGTCGGGAAGGCCGCGGCACATCAGTAAGCCGCGGTTTGTTTATATTACCTTTGTGTTTGTTTTTGTAAGTACCTCCACGTTTCGTTATAAATATTTTATGAGATACGATTTGGCTTAAGCTTAACCTGCGGTAATGCCGGGTAATTGAATTATAATCTGTAGCAAAAAGCGCAATTCGTGTTATGCTGCTACGAGCCGTCTACGAATTCGTAGACAATGAAGTGTCTGTTTAATATTCGCGGTTGCAAAATAAAATTGTTTTTGCAAATTCTTATTTTGATAATTTAGTTTTGAATGTAAGAAGTAGGTAAAAGGAACCATACAAATTGATGTAGTTACTGGCAGGCAACAGTTTAGCCGCTCGGCTGGCGCGCATTGACAACAGTGAAGTGAAATCGAGCGTGTGGCCGTGACCTCACATGCCATTTCTCTAACGTTGAGACAGCGCTTATTTCTGGCTTAGCCCTTTTTTATACGTTGGACATATAAACTACTTACCAGCACGAGGTCAGTACTTCCAACGAACAAACAAGTTACGTTCTAAATAAAACAGAACCTTTCAGCTTTGAATTCTTTTAGCAATGTTTTGTTGTCACTGTATGAAAATAGCACGTCTCAGCTATTTTCCGCAATAAAGTATACCTATAACAAATCAAAATCATTATTACTCCAACAGGATTTGCTTTAAAAAATGCTATCGTCAAGATAAGAAGTCGATTTCCACGTCGGTACGTGCTTTTGCAAATAGATTTCTGATCAAGATCATGCTCTAATCCCACAATAAATTATTTTAACTAAATCAGCATTTAAGATCTGTGGAAGTGATATAAGACATACCTACAAGATTTCTATTTTATTAAATAAGTTTTAAAATATATTTTTCATCTCGTAGCAGCGTAAACAGAATACATAAAACTTTGGTAGGTATCTACCTTATTACTTAATAAGGTCGGTAATTTTTTTCTTATTTTTCCTTATATCTTTTTTGATCTCATATGTAGTTACTACTCTTGGTGTTTGAATAAAAGTTCCTTATTAAATACTTAGGGTTGCCAACATTCTGTATAATATACTGATATAATCGATCTCTGACAAGTTTATAGCGTGTACAAATTTTGTAAATATCCGTGTATTATAAAAGTAATTTTAGCTGTCTACTATTTACAGCGTAAAAAAGAGGGGTCTGTAAGTATGGTAGATATTGTATCTATCCTTTTTTTATTCAAAGTTATCAGGATTTTTGGGCAACCCTACGTACTAATCCGCTTGTCATAGCTTGAGGCATTTCGGAGCCCTTTTCCTTTTGGTTCTTTTTATGGAATAATCAAGTCATTTAACAAGTTTGTGTTGTTTATGTACCTACGTATCTAATACATATCAAAGTAGGAATGTCTCAAATTGGTGTATTTCTAATCCAGTTCATTTTATTTTGGATTTTCTCAATTGTGCTGTTGTTGTAGAATCGGCCTCATTGCTATAGTTTTGATGAATGTAGTCGTAAAATGTTACATTTACTTGCATCGCACGATTAGCGGCACACTAACAGGGCTATGGAGATATGTTTATGGAATCGGAAACCGCATTCCACTTTGTTTTGCCAACGCCGGCGAGCGGGGCCCGCGTTGAGCAAGTCCCAATGCACTTTGAAATTGGACGCGCCCTACATTTTTCTAGCAATGGCTGTAACTTGAGCACGGCTAGCGTCGCAAGCGCAACGATACGCGCAGCAGGGCTGCTCACATAGCCGAGAAAAATTTCTTACATCTATATACAGTGTGAGTCACGTTAAAGTGTACATATGAAAATAGATAAAACTAAACCTATTTTTATCGACAAAAAAGAGGTCAAAAAATTTTTGAGATTTTTTTTTAATTTTTTATCGAATTTTTTTTCTTCTAATTACCTATTGTAATGAAAACGTAATAACTTTTAAACTAAGCGGTATATCCTGATAAAATAAAAACAGTAATAATGCTAAATAACAGGCGATACTAATAAAATACATACAATACACAAAAAATGCCAACAAATAATAAAAAATGATACTTTTTGAAAAAAATCTGCTTAAAAATTCGTGTTTTTTTGGTTATTTGATAAATTTCTCCAAAAAATGCCCCTATAACCGGTGGTTTTTATTACTTTGTATTATTCTCTATCGTATTACCTTCGTAAAACCAAAAATCGCATGTCCCTATCCCTATCACAACGTTTGCAATGATTGTTTGAACTAAGCCTCTCCGGGCGCGCCATTCAACGCTTCGTTAACAACGAAAATGAAAATGGCTCTAGATTTGTAATTTTGATAAAGACAAGTTAGATTTCAAATAAAAACAAAAGATTTCGAAGTAAAATAAGCATTTTAGTTAAAATTAAAATTGTCTCTACCTGTAGCGGAGAATAATGTTGTGGCAGGCCTTTGTTCAAACGATCATAGCAAATGTTGTGATAGGGATAGAGACATGCGATTTTTGGTTTTACAAAGATAATACGATAGAGAATAATACAAAGTAATAAAAACCACCTGTTATAAGGGCATTTTTTTGAGAAATTTATCAAATAACCAAAAAAGTACGAATTTTTAAGCAGATTTTTTTCAAAAAGTCTCATTTTTTATTATTTGTTAGCATTTTCTGGGTATTTTATGTATTTTTTCAGTATCGCCTGTTATTTAGCATTATGACTGTTTTTATTTTATCAGGATATACGGCTTACTTTAAAAGTTATTACGTTTTATTTACAATAAGTAATTGGAAGAAAAAAAATTCTATAAAAAAATAAAAAAAAATCTCAAAAAAAAAATTGACTTCTTTTTTGTCGATAAAAATAGGTCTAGTTTTATCTATTTTCATATGTACACTTTAACGTGACTCACACTGTATATAAAAGAAAGTCGTGTTAGTTACTTCGCTTATAACTCAAGAACGGCTGAACCGATTTAGCTGAAAATTGTCAGGGAGGTAGTTTAGAGCCAGGAGAAGGACATAGGATACTTTTTATCCCGTTCGAAATTAAAAAAACGTCTGCTTATTTATTGCCATTAAGGCGGAACAAAGTTCGCCGGGTCAGCTAGTACTCAATAAAATTGCTCTGCCACTAATGTTGTAGAAACCTCGTGAACTGCTGAAAAAGTAGCCTATGAAATTCAGCATCAATGAAGCTTTTGATCACTCAAGACAGAAGAACACTAGTAACTGTCCAATTATCTTCCCTTTATAGTTTTTTTTTTCATTTAGTTAATGACAGTCACTTATTTACGAAATTGTATCCAAGTTTTAGCGCTTTTCGACGCATTGTGTGAAAAATACTGGAAACAGGTGTAGGGCTTCTATTCGTCGGTAATTTTGGTGTATTATTTGAAACAACAAGAGGTTTAAAATCAAATACTTCTCCAAATGAAAGGCAACGGTTTAATTTTGGAACAACGTTATCTTTGTCAAATGCAACCAGAATGAAACTGGTGGCGCAAATCGCATGATATATTTCACTCATAAGTTCAGTGTAATAAGGTCGATAAAATCTCGAGCAGACGCAAAGTTATTATGACTGTCTATTTGCGTCTGGCACAGATTTGGGAATATTCCCAAATAACCACACACTACATTTCGAGAATTCGTGAATAAATGCCTTGCCGCAGTGACGTCCGAGATGACTGATATGGTTGTCTGTCTGCAGTTGGTTTGCAAAAGTAAATATTAAAACTCGCGGTTAATTTATTTCGGTCTAATCAAGCAATTAAATTCAAATAGATCAAGTGCCAAATTGGATGAGATTAAGTCGTTAACTAACACATAAATGGATGATTACCCAACAAATGCTCTACAAGCTAAATCTGCGCACGTTATGCACACATGTGATCAAATCAAATCATACATTTCTTACATAGCGGAACAGTTTCAATACTAACTCGTTAATGATGTCAACAGACCGGTCATAAACTGATCTATTTAAAATTCATAACATCTATGTGAATTGATTAGGTACCTTATGAAAATCATACTGGCGTTATTCTAATTTCATGGTTTATGAGATTCCAAATTCCAAAAGATTCTCAGGAAGTTCTCAAAGTTTTTACATTCATATACGAGTACATAAGCTAGGTACTTTTTGTCGTGAGAAAATTATGTATTTCATTATTGTAATGAAGAAAATATCTCAAGCAGAGCGGGCGGAGATGCTCTTTTTGAACAGAATCCTTCCACATCCTTAACTTGTATGATTTTTATCAATTAACAGTTGATTTATATTCGGTAGATTGCTAAATTTAGTAGGGGAGACTGGGGCTGGTCCTAACAAATTTTGATTTGAGCGTAATATTTTCTAAACTGCTTTAGCAAGAAACATGGTTTTTTGGTACGTGATTTCAAATTTAATGAACTTTACGTAAAGTACAACAAAATGTATATAATAATTACCATATCTGAGAAAAATCGAGTTTTGCCAAACAAGTCACTTGTTAGATCTTACCCCCGGTTTGGGGTTGGTTTTAACATCGCTGGGGAAAGTTTTAACAGCGGGGGTAAGAAATGATTTATAGTTGGGAATGGGATTTTGGCTAAGATAAACAACAAAATAATAATCAATGTTTATTAGAAACACTAATAAAATTAAATGCGGTTCCTTACCGTTCATAAAA